TAATGCAAAAGTTTCCTTTTTTGAAGTTAATAATTCAAAAGAATAATTTACAATCATAGAAAGTGCACAAATAAAAGAATTTTTCATGATTTTGTGGGCTCTTATTTTATTAAGCAATAAAAATAAACAAAGCAAATCAGGCAGGTTAGAATGATATGCCAGGTGGATCTCCATAACCCTTTGTCTCTTCTCGCGACAACGTGAGAAAAACACGTGCTTTTGTCCTACGTGGGAAACTTAGTAAGCAACAGTAGGACCCCTTTCATAGAAAATAGAAACTTTAATGTGGGTCCCGAACACTAACCACGTGGATAGCCAACGTGGCATTTGCTAAGACGGAGACAAAGTGTGTCAGTCGTTGAGCAGCTCGTGATTTTCCCACGCGTTTGTAAAGCAGTGGCTATTACCTTCTTCCCAGATGCGTTAACTGAATCTCTGCATTAGTATAACACTTTCCAAAGCTAATATCCATGAATTCACTAAATTGACCCTCCCACAAAGTATTATAAATTATTTAGAATGACGAATTTGCCATTCGTTAATAGTTACTGCTTTCGTACAATTAATTAAAATTAATTATAAAATAGCCCCTGAAATTTAATATAATATATTATATATGTATTGGTTTTCATAATTAAGAATTTTGCTCTTGAAATTTTATAAAGTTAGCTTTTTAACCGATTTGCAAATAGGAATTTCCTTATAACTATGAACTACCTACATTCGTCCAAACTTTTAATACCCACCCTGTCCTCAAGTTTGTTTAAAATTTGTTTTAAAATATTCATATTAAATTTCCTTAATGATTTTATTATTTTTATCGTAGACCTATTTTTAAACAAATAAAATATTAATAATCAAATAAAATACCTATTTAAAATATTTCTCAATCCATGTTGGCTTGAGAAAAACTTACTCTAACTGGGTTGATGAGTTTGTTGAGCGAAGCTTGAGCTCAATAAACAAATAATTTTTCTTTCAAAAAAACTATATTGCTTAAATTTAAAGCATTACAAATGATAACTCAATAAAAAAACTATATTACTTTGCAAAATTTTTTTTATTTTCTGCAATTATGTATTCATTTTCTATAGTTTTTATATCTTCTACTATTCATATCAATCAAATTTAAGCTCGAATTCGAGTTTAGATCATTTATAAATCTTGAAGTGATTTCGAGTTCGCGTTCATTTATAATATCAAGCCAAACTCAAATCCAAGCTGAGATCAGACTCAAAGTTTGAAATCGAGATAAAATTTTATCTGAATCAAGTTTATTAGAGCTTAGCTTAGCTTGAGCTCACCAGAATTTAGCAATAGTAGTTTACTGTCCTAGGTATCCCATGCTTAGTTAAGCCTGCCTTATAAAAATTAAGTACTTACAATATATATTTATAGGCACATATGAATGCTTAGTTGTCAATTCCGTTTTCTTCTGGAACTGACAACTTTAATTAATTAACTATATACCATCTATTCGTATATTAATAAAGAGTTACAAAACGAAATGAAACGACAGAATCTTGACTGTTTCGACCGAGACGAACGTTTCCGTTAAAACTTAAAACTATCATTTTGTGCAGTTAGTAAAATAACATAAACAAGAAGGGTAAACTTATAAAAGAGATAAACAATAAAGCTCAATTTATCCTAGCAAAATTAGGAAAAGATTGATTCACAATTAAACTATTAACTATGCAGCTCTACTCTATCACAAATAACTAGTTGCGTTGCGCGCTGCGCATAAAAATATTATATAATATTTAAAAATAAAATTATTATTTTAATAAACAATTATTTTCAAGAATTTAAATATCTAATATATTATTACTACTGATATATGAAAAGATAAAATAAATTTTTTTTCTCGAATTCTTGCAAGAAGATCAATATATTAACATATACATACATAAATCAGTTTATAATTAAGCTTAAAATTTTTAATTTCTAGAAATATTTTAATAGATTTTAAAATAATCTCTATAAAGATCAATTATTTGAATTCATTTCAAATAAACAATCTAACATCGATCAAAATCTAATAAAGTTTTTCTCATTTAGAATAGGTTGAGAAGTATTGTCGTCTCTCTTCACAATACAAAACATAAATATTAATTATATTATAAAATATTTCTTTATCGCACATAATGATATTAGAAAACAAACTTTAATCTAATAGTTAATAGAATAATTTATAAATCACAAAATCATGCCTTACTTGATCAAGTTGTCTATTAATTATAATAAAAATATGATTTTTAAAACCTATGGTTTGTGGCTCAATTGACAACGCAGACTGAGCATGTGTCGGGAAGAGCTATCGGTTTCGATTCTCATTAAATGCACCTGTAGAAGGGATGAGGAGTCTTAATTGTGACAAAGCCCGAACATGATTAAATGCAATGAAATCCTGCATATCGGTAAATTACACAAAAAAAAAAAAAAAGTTCTAGATAGTTTTTTTTTTTACTAAATTTGAGAATCATTAAACAATAAGTTTTAAATTTATTTATTTTTTTATCATTCTAAATTTTTAAATTTGTTTTTATTAAGTCACATATATATTTCTATCTTATACACGTATATATGTGTACGAGCACGCACAATTTAACATATATTTCGAATTATGCTATTAAATTTTATAAAATTTACTTATTCTCACGTATCATATGTTGATATTTATGTTAAAATAAAGTTTAACCTTCCCCACAAACCTTTGAAATTTAGAAAAACACAAATCAAATAATTTTTTTAAAAAACTTTGAAATGATGAAAGATATTTAATAGATGAAATATATATATATATATATATTCTGAAAGGGATTTAATAGATGAAATATTAAGCAAGTGAAATAAACAATGTTCATATATAAAATGAAGGTGTTTATTATAGTTTGAGATTTTTTTTTTTTGAGACGTAGGATTAAATTATAGTACCTGATTTTGATATATTTGGCTTTCCTTTTCCTTTTTTTTTTTTTTAAAGAAATAATTAGTGTATGGTTCAACTGAGCCCTCCCCATGAAAGTTCAAACTAGCTTTGTTCTTTTTCCCCAATTTTTATGATTGAGCATGGCTAGTCATCAACTCTGAAACGTGCACTCCCCCACAAAAAGCTCAAAGTTCACCAGCAGGATAATTATAATACCAAAGGAATTAACATTTTATATTTTATATAATATATATATATATCATTGTCATTATTATGTGTTTTTCATTTGTATATATCCAATTTGTTAATAAAAATCTATATCATAAACATAATTTAATGGTTGATTTTCTATTAAAATTTAGTTCTTTTGAAAATAGAGATCGAAATACGGTTTGATCAAATCGATTTAAATTGAATTATTATAACCGAAATAATTTCATATTAAAAATTATATTATTGAACCAAATAAATATGAATAATCATCGAATTGAAATATTATAGTTTTATTAATAAATATTCGAACCAAAAGAAACAATTTGCTGAATAAGAACTGAACCGAACCAGACAACAGTGATTCTGTCTGGTTGGTTATAACTTAGAACTGCAAAACTTCTGACATTGTGCAGTCACCATTACGTCATCAGAGTTGTCTATTCAAAGGAAGCTGATATGTGTAATTCATTCGTGTGAGGGTCCACCATACTGAATGGTTCCCATTTCTCTTTCTTTCTACAATGGAGATAGTAATATTATCTTTGTGTTGCAGAAAAACAAAGTCAAAGGTTCGTACCCAAAAATCATGTTGATTGATAATAAATCCAAGCAATTTCTAAAAAAGATAGAATAAAAAGAAATCATAGAAAAAGAATAAAAAAGGTCATAAATGTCTGGCTAGTAATGTTTGATTGGATAGGATAAACATCCACCCTTCACATGCAAAAGAGAGAATCAATGCTCAAAAATGGACCCTCTTGTCATCTTCTTCTACTGTTGGGAGAGAAATCAACATCTAATAATAATAATAATAATAATAATAATAATAATGCCAGCCATGTTTTAGTCCAATGACGAAAGCTGGGGTTAAATTGGAATTTTATTTAGGGCTGGGTATAATGTAGTCAAATTGGTTAAATCAAAGTGAATTGATGGGTTAGTTTTTAAATTATTAAGTTTGTTTTTCTTAAGTGCATTATTAGGTTTGATTTTAATTTCGATTGAAAAATAAAAAAATTAATTCAATTTTATTTTTAAAAACCTTAAAAATAAAATAAAAATAATTCAATCAGAATTGGATATACACAATTTCAATTCAATTTTGTTTTTTTAGAAAAACTCAATTTATTCAATTGAATCGATTCGATTCAGTTTGAATTGAATCGATTGAATGTCAATCCTAATTTTATTTATGTTAGATAATTGTAATAATTTTAAAGGAAAAAGCTATCTATTCATTGATGCCATATAATCTATAATATTATTTTATTCATAAATACTTCAATAATAATAATAATAAAAGTAATAGATTATTTTAAAAAATTAATGATTTAGCCCATGATAATTTTAAAAAATAAAATAAAATAAGTTCTCCGAAAATTTTCAACTTCAAGAATGTGTTGCATTATAATCTACTGATTATTTAAATATTTATAATTAATCACTAACAACTTCGTAATTAGTGTTTGTTCTATAGAAAATAAAACTAACAAATTCCTTTTAAATCGTTAAAATACTGAAAAAATAAAGATTGGGGTACCCAAATTTAAAATTACACTAAACAATAGGGTTTTTTTTTATAAATTATTACAGTATGGAAAATGTGTTCCTTCAATAATTCAATAATTCTTCAAGGGCTGCCATGTCAATATATACAAAAGGGCATTATAGTCCTTACAATAAACAACAATTAAGTCAGCTAGTCAATACGGTGAGCTAAACATTCTTCACGAAGACACAGCGGAGACTTGGGACATAACAAGTCGTAAATATAAATTTCATGAAGGGCATTGTCGTCACGAAATATTCACACTATCTCCGCTATATAACAAGCTCACTCTTCACCTACACCTTTCACTTTGAAAGTACCTTTCTTAGCTACACAGACCAAGAAAGACAAGCAGAAAAAGATAAAAAGCTTATTTCTGTTCATCAATGGCGACCATGACTCACGACGGTGGTACGGAGAGTGAAAAGGCTGCGAACGGAGACTCTACGGAGCATGAGAGGTGTTCAATAGAAGAGGTGGCGTTGGTGGTGCCGGAAACAGATGACCCAACACTTCCGGTGATGACATTTCGGGCATGGTTTCTGGGTTTAGCCTCATGTTCGCTTCTAATATTTCTGAACACCTTTTTCACTTACCGTACGCAGCCACTCACAATCTCAGCCATTCTCATGCAAATTGGTGTCTTGCCCATTGGCAAGTTTATGGCGAGGACTCTTCCTAGCAAAGAATATAAAATTTTTGGTTATGGTTTTACTTTGAATCCTGGGCCTTTTAACATCAAAGAGCATGTGATTATCACTATCTTTGCTAATTGTGGAGTTTCTTATGGTGGGGGTGATGCATACTCAATTGGTGCCATTACTGTTATGAAGGCTTATTATAAGCAGGGCCTCAATTTTCTTTTGGCGCTCATCATTGTCTTGACATCTCAGGTGAAATCAATATTTCTTAATTTATGTGTCTTCTCTTACTTTTCCTTTTTCTTTCTTTTCTTTTTCTTTTTCTTTTTTTTTTTTTTAATTTGCATTTTATTGAATTCGAGTATTTTGTGAATCTGTTATGTTTGGGAAGGAAAAGTGACAGGCTTTTTAAGCTGAGTCAGTTAGTTTTGTCTCTAACCATTTCTTACTTTATTTTTCTTTAAACATTTTGGATTATAAAATGTTCCTACTATGCATTTTTTTATCCATTTCTAAAAAAATTTTTTGGGTTTTTTTAAAATTAGAACTTCATTTTCTTTTGTTTTTTGTTCTTTTTTTTTTTTTTTAATTTCCTTTTCTTTTGCTTGATCTATGCAGATATTGGGGTATGGATGGGCTGGAATGCTTAGAAGATATCTGGTTGATCCCGTGGAGATGTGGTGGCCTTCAAATCTTGCCCAGGTTTCGCTATTTAGGTCTGTTTTCTTTCCCTCCTTTGCTCTTATTTTTCCCTTGTAATTATAAGGATGTCTGTTTGGTTGATGAGAAAATGTAGGAGAATTGGTTTCAGAAAAACCTTTAGTGATTGCTTGGACACAGTTAGATGAATTTGCTGTTTTTTGTTCTTTTTTTCTTTTTTTGAGACTTTCTGTTGATATAAGATCATAGATTCAGCATACACATTTTAGTCCCTTTTCAAATACTGAAAATCTTTTCAGGGGATGACAATGATAAATTTATTCTTTAACATTTTCAATGATTGCACGTAGTTTAAATCCAATGGATGAATAATCTTCATGATAGAATTAGTTGTAAAACAAACAGACCTTTAAAAAGCATCACAATCTTAACATGATTTGTACAGTGTGAATAGTTCTTGATCAAGTATCTTTTTATTTGGTTCAAGTAAGTGAACCTGTGTGGAAAATTCAAGTGGCATAAGTTTAACTTGTTATGTGATAAAATAGCATGCTCATCAGTCGAGAATTTGTCTTATGGACCATCTGGCTTTATTTATAGCTGTAATATTCGACGAGGGGACATTGCTTAACACTAGAGCAATTAAAAGATTGTCAAATGGATGATGGAATACCTTTTTCTTTTCTTTTATATACTTTTCTTGTCATGAAAGTGCTTAGGATTATTGCTAAAAGAATTCACGGAACGAATAATCTATGCATTTAGATTCATGTATACGAAGACTTGTAGTGTATTCCACAGGATACGTTTGATTATATGTTATTGACTTTGTCTCTACAGGGCACTCCATGAAAAAGAACCAAAAAGTAAAGGCATGACTCGAATGCGATTCTTCCTTATAGCATTGACAGCAAGCTTTCTTTATTATGCACTCCCAGGCTACTTGTTCCCAATATTGACATTTTTCTCATGGGTCTGCTGGGCATGGCCTAAGAGTATCACAGCTCAACAAATAGGGTCAGGTTATCATGGACTTGGAATCGGTGCATTCACTTTAGATTGGGCTGGGATTTCAGCATACCATGGCAGCCCTCTGGTCACACCCTGGACATCCATTGTCAATGTTGGGGTTGGCTTTATCATGTTTATCTACATAATAGTCCCTCTGTGTTATTGGAAGTATAACACTTTCGATGCTCGGAAATTTCCGATATTTTCTAATCAGCTGTTCACTAGAACTGGACATAAGTATGATACTACAAAGGTCTTGACCCCAGATTATGACCTTAACATTGCTGCTTATAATAGTTACAGCAAGCTTTATCTTAGCCCTCTGTTTGCCCTGTCGATTGGATCAGGATTTGCAAGGTTTACGGCAACTCTTACACATGTTGCCTTGTTTCATGGAAGGTAGGCTGCTTTCTATTTCCAAGTTTTTCATATGGTCATGAAATTTTGTAAAAGTTATCATATGCCTTTTACAGTGGAACCTTGGAGAATGACACAATGATTAACTTCCATTGTCTAGTGATATTTTGAGGCAAAGTAGATCGGCAATGAAGAATGTGAAATTGGATATTCATGCAAAATTGATGAAAAGTTACAAACAAGTCCCAGAATGGTGGTTCTACATTCTTTTGATAGGTAGCATCGTCCTATCTTTATTGATATGCTTTGTGTGGAAGCAAGATGTGCAATTGCCATGGTGGGGTATGCTCTTTGCCTTTGGAATGGCTTGGCTTGTTACCCTTCCTATTGGTGTCATTCAAGCAACAACCAACCAGGTATAATATCTCCGGCCTTTCCTCTTAGACTTGGGAAGCTTCTTAAATTCAAAATAAGAAGCAAATTGCACACTATGATTTTTTTTCCTCATAATTGTTCCTGTGTCCACAATGCAGCAACCAGGATATGACATAATAGCACAGTTCATAATTGGATATATCCTACCAGGAAAACCAATTGCAAACTTGCTTTTCAAGATTTATGGGCGAACTAGCACCATCCATGCTCTTTCTTTCTTATCTGACCTTAAACTTGGTCATTACATGAAAATACCACCGCGGAGCATGTATGCGGCTCAGGTATTGGATCTCAGATACTTGAGTTATTGAGAATTTGAAAATTTTGCGTTTTTAGTTTGCCATTCTGACAGTTTGGCTGTTGTTTGTCCTCAGTTGGTGGGAACTTTTGTTGCTGGTACTCTCAATCTTGCAGTTGCGTGGTGGATGTTAGAGAATATCGAGAACATTTGCGATGTTGACGCACTGCATCCTGAAAGTCCTTGGACATGTCCTAAATACCGAGTCACTTTTGATGCTTCTGTCATTTGGGGCCTGATTGGACCAAAAAGACTGTTCGGACCTGGAGGATTGTACCGGAATTTAGTGTGGTTGTTCCTTATTGGAGCTTTCTTGCCAGTACCAATTTGGATACTAAGCAAAATGTACCCTGAAAAGAAATGGATTCCACTGATTAACATACCAGTTATATCTTATGGATTTGCTGGAATGCCACCTGCAACTCCAACCAATATAGCGAGCTGGCTTATCACTGGAATGATCTTCAACTACTTTGTATTCCGATATCACAAACGCTGGTGGCAGAAATATAACTATGTTCTGTCTGCAGCTCTAGATGCCGGTACGGCTTTCATGGGTGTGCTATTGTTCTTTGCTTTGCAAAACGAAGGCAAAAATTTGAAGTGGTGGGGTACTGAAATTGATCATTGTCCTTTGGCTTCATGTCCAACAGCTCCTGGTATTGAGGTCAAAGGATGTCCAGTCTTTACTTAAGAAAATGTAGCAGTAGTAGAAGGCAGAATTGGGTTTAGCTCCAAAAGAGGCAGGGGAAATACGGTAGAGCAGGAAAAGAACTTGAAATAACAACCCTTGTATATTTTATACAGGCTTCTTTTCTTTACTTCCATTGAAAGCGAAAGCGATTTGTGCTTTCTGGTTTAGTTTTGGCGTCTTTGATAAGTGTAATAGATTTGTAATATTTTTGTGCACCTCACATATAGTAATAGAATAGAAGCATTTTCATAACTTTATTGGGAATAAAATGTTCATCTCTGTTTGTGTTTATATATGTTCATTAGGTAGTAGGATGGTCAGTTTGGAGAGCCCAGCACATGGCACCAACTTGCTAGTTACTATGGTTCGCCTGCTATTCCACGTTATGTTCTGTTCTTTCTTTTTCAGCAGAAAAATCATTAGCTATCTTCAGCCAAGGAACCAAATTATGGATGTCGCTTTCTGTATTATTATTATTTAAAAGTAGTCAGAACAGTACCAGCATTTATTTTTTTTGGTTTGATTTTATAGAAGCTCGATTCGATTTTTTTTTTGTTTTTTTGAGTATTGGAAGAGGAGATTCGAACTTAAATCAATTGTCAAGTCATATATATTTTTACATCACTGGATATGACAATATCATATTCAAATTTTGTTTATATCTAAGTAAATTTTGAATTAATTTAAATTATATCTTAGTAAAAATTTAATTTAAACTTATGAACTTGAGTTCTAAACCAGAGTCATAAGATTTCACATGCTATGAAATCATGCTACATAAGACAGAAAGAGTTGAAAGAGAATACATTAAGTAAATTAATTTATTTGATAAATGATTTAATTTACCCTTTCTACTCTGACCATAATTATTAATTCATTTTCTTTTTTTTCTTTCTACTTCAGAGGGAATAATCTCATAGGAGAAAGAGGTTTCTAATGGCTTAATGCATCCTTTCACCCTCGACTTTTGTACTGCGTTACAATTTCACTTTATTTTGATCTTTATGTCAATGTAACTCTGAATTTTGATTTTTCTATTGCAATAGCACCCTAAATTGCAATAAGAATTTAAATTGCAAATAAAAAGTACATTAATGTGAAATGCACTCTTGACTTTTATAGATTAATTTAATCAAAACTTTCTTTCTTAGACTTTTATGGGTTAATTTAATCGAAACTTTCTTACTTGTATAAATTTGTTAAGTTTAATTGTTGTCTTGCATAAATAAGTATTTTTTTTTAATTCTATAATTATAAATAATAATTGATTGTAAATATATCTTCTATTTTATTTTGATAAAAAATATTTATAATTTTTAATAGTCTGTGAGTTAAATAATTTTACAATAGTTTTGTTTTTTAAAATTTTTAATTATTACAAAATTTACATTAAAAATCAAACATAAATAATAAGTTTAAGTGTACTAGAAGTACTCTAATTTTTTCTTAAAAGATGTCTATCAAACTGAAACACCCTGAATTTTTATTTTCGAAACTTTTGAATTTTTATTAAATCAAAAATTTGAATTTTTGACGGTATGGGCCGTAAATAGAGTCAAATAAATTTGAATTTTTGAACGGTATGATTGGGTCCGTAAATAAGTGAACAATTTTAATTGTGGAGTTCAAAGTTTTGCAAATTAGGCCAAGCCCAAATATATAAGCCCAAATATAATGTCGAAATTTTGAATTGAGAACAATTAAATTTTTGAGTAATAATATGAAAGTCCAGCAATTAATCTATTATGTATATATATAAACCAATTATCCTAAAAAAATCAAATATGATTACTAACTATATTTTTATTTTTTTTTATTTAGTTAATGGAGGAAATGTTATGAAACCTAATTAAATAATTAAAATAAATTGAACCGGACTCGAAACTCAGATTGATTTTTAGAAAACCACACGAATAATCCGAAAACCAAGTGAAAAACCTACAAACTGGGCAAGAACCGAGCCAAATCATTAAATTAGACCGAACCGGTTCGAATCGAACCGGAATGGTCTAGAAGCGTTAGCCTTCTTTCCCTCTTCTTTCTTTTCTTTCTTTTTTTCTTTTCCTTTCTTTCCTTCTTCTCATCCAGAGCGCGCTGATCCCTCCCTCGTCTACCACGTTCTCCACGATCACTGCACGACAGTGGTGGGTTGGCGACTGCCTCCCTAAAGCTTAACGACCACGAATTCTGGCCTTCCTTCACACGGAAGAAGTCCCCCCATCGGCGCGAAACGGGTACTGTCACTCCGGACACTCCCAGTTTGGATTTACGTTGATCAAGCTTGGAATCCAGCAGTTGATTGGCCTACCAGGGTGAGCTCCCGATCGTTCCTTACCCGCCTTGTGTGAAACGATTTTCCATCCAAGAAACGATGGTTTTGGTGGAAGATAATGAAAACACTCATGTCGGCGGCGTAGGAAAGGTCTGGTCGGGCTTGTTCCTGGCCAAAGCGAGCCCCGGCTCAACAAACTGATATGCAGATCTTGGACTCCTCTGCGAAAAATTGAAGTCGGATGGTGGTGACCTTGCAATGTTTCTGGGCGGTTAATTTTCTCGGGCCACCGGTTGACGGCGGCTGGCGACTGGCGGTCCGGTGATTCCGCTCGGACGACACTGAGCCGTGCGAGGCCGCCAAGAGAAAGCAGAATGAATTCTCCATCTCGTCAGTTGAAATTCAATTGGAATTGAGGTCCGATTGCTCAAAACGGTAACGCCCTAATACCTATTTTCCTAAATTTTTGTTTTAATCTCTCAAATTTAATAACTAATAAATAGTTGATTAAGTTTGAAAAATCTAAAATATAATCCCGTGCTAATGAAATTAGAATAAACTGATATAATGTAGTTACAAATTAATTTGTGAACATTTTTAAATAAATTAGCATTGGTTTATTGTATAAAATAGGTGTAATAATTTGAAGGGGAAACTAAATTAGAATTAGTTAATTAGTTAATTAGATAATCATTAGTTTAACTAACCGATTGTGCATAAGAAAAAGTGAGGCAAAAATGTTTAGTCTGGTTAACGGGTTAGATCCCGAAATTTTTGATTAAATCAATTGATTTGGGAGGCCCTACCATGTGTTGCATATTTCGTATATAAACAGGCATCAGAATTTTAATAGGTAGTAGTTATAAAATTAGTTTATTGTTAAAATATTGTTTTAGCCTGCTTAACAATGATTAGTTATCGGTAAAACTTAAATGAAATCTTTTAGTTAACTAAATGACGTTAATCCATGGATCCTTGATACTGGATATTTATTAGAGAATTAAGTTTTGTAATTTTTGATGGAGTGTTGAATATTGTTGTTTATTGGAAAGGAGATTGGGTAATTTTAAATGTGATTGATTGCCGCGACGGATGGGCTGTTGTGCAACTGATTGATTAAAGATTATGAATAAATCTTGTTGATAATTTGAGCAGGTAGATGAGCGCCGATTTTTAGGGGTAATGATGTGCTTGCCCCAGCGATTGGAAATTTTGACAGAAATTTTAGACAAAAATTTTTTAATTAATAACAATAAACAAATTAGAGTCTTATTAGACAAATTTCTAAGCAATTTGATAATAATAATAAAGTGCTTTAACTACCTTGTCATTATCATAGTTTATTATTATTATTATTATTTATTTTAAAGTCGTTTGCTGTTATTTGTTAAATATTAGTGAGTAGTGTTAGATAATTCGCCTCATCCTCCTGCATTCATGAATTCACGGCTAAATGTTATCATGCATTATTGCCATATTGTGATGCACTATTTGTTGCTATTAAATATTGCTTGATTACTTGTGATGTGACATTGTTGTGCCTTGTTTGTGTGGAATTGGGATGAAGTGGGTCACCATGGGTTTGTGAGACCGTTACCGTTATATGGATCCTGATTAACCGGGTAAATGAGAGATCGGCGCCCCCGTGTGCACCTACCGTTACCGTTACCGAAAACCACAGAATGGCTTCTTGTTGTTGGCACCTGATAATCTAGCTACGTTATCCCTTGGTTACCTTTGTTAACCACGGGTTGGCTTTCTCGCGTTGCGTCACTCGGACAGTTCTAGATTGAATATGCATTGCCTGCAGGGTGGCCTCGCTGTTTGTGAGCGGCTTTGATGAATCTGATTGTATTTTGGAATGACCACCGGGTGTGCCTCCTGTTGGGTATGAAAAGAAGAGAGAATGGAAAAACAATGAGAGGGCTCGGTTCAAGATGTAGGATGTAGTATACCGGTCTGGCCAGTATGGGGATCGGCTCCCTGGTTGCACACGTGAGAGGATGGGCTCATGTGGGAAGGACGGCTCATTCGGGGGTTCGGTGACTCCACTGACTAATTTCCACCCGTGATGTGATTAAGACAAGATGTTAATGAATTGTGAGTGCTGGTGATATGCCAATTTTGTGTGACTGGCTGTGTGAGCATATAACTAGTCGGCGATAGACTAAGATTTGGACTATATTCATAATTCATTTGTGTGAATGCTGTATTGTGCAATAATTATTATTCATTAATAAACTCACATCTCTTGTTTAAATCTTCCAGGAAGTAGCATTTTCTAAATCCCAGCTATAACTCTACTCCTTCACTGTTAAAAAGAGATTCTTTAATTTTAATGTTGATATATTAAGTAGATAAATGTCTAAAGACTTATCTGTATACATCTGTTAGTGAATTCCGCAGTTGTAGAATTTGTGTGCAATTAGTCGTGTATTAACATAGACGATGTAATTATGTGAGCCTATATTAAAAATATAATGTATTGTTAATTGGGCCCGAACTGTGGAAATGTTGTAATTGATAAATTTGGGCCGAAATTTAATAGAATCTTAAGGTTTATTTTTCTATAATTATAGGCTTTTTCTAATAATTATATGGCTGAATTTTTAAATATTAATATTGAGTATAATTATGTTTATTAGTGATTCAGGCCTTTACTATACGGGCCCTCGGAGGCCTTTAAGCTTACCTGGGCCCTTAGTGCCTGGTCCCGGCCCATCGGAAACGGGTCGTGACATCCGGCCCATGGAAACGGGTCGTGACACAAACAATACATTTTTATTTATTACTTATTAGCAATTAAATAAATAATTTAAAAATATTAAAAAATAATAATAGAGATTTTCTATACTATTAATTCAAATTTTCTTATTAACATAACCGTATTAAATTAACCCAAATCGAAAATTTAGTGAACATTATAGTAATGCATTTTTTGTTTGCATTTTAAGTCCTAATTATATTTAGAGTCCGACTGCAATAGAAGGTCAAATTTCAGGGTGAAGCAATGTTTTAGAACGTTTCTAATTATAAGCGTCGTCCTCTTTTTTCTACATCTGACTCCACCAAAGGGGGAAAAAATTTCTGAACAAACCCCATTAATGGCTGCTTTTATCATGAACTCAGATTCGATTAACTTAAAATAATTTCACCAAATCTGCAATTTAACTTAAAATTAACATCTGAACCAATTTGGAATATAAACTTTTCACTTTTAATTTTAAAATATTTAAATTAATAAAAACTTCAAATTTTTTTAAAAGAATCAATCAAAACATCAAATACATTCAAACCCATTGCAGGGAAAGAGAAGAAAATAGGAATAAAAACCCATTATTTTCAATTTTCATATATTTTAACTTCTTTAATTTTCCAACTTATATATATATTATAATATATATATAGTATATATAATATTATATATATATATTTCAATATCAATTAAATTTTTTTAATTATTTTCAAAATATATAAATTAATATCTATATATAAATATAAAAGATCTCTTTCTATGACAATTAATATTTTTTTTATTATTTTCAAAATATAAAATTAATATCTATATAAAATATAAAAGATCTCTTCTATGACGATCTTTTATTTCTACTCTTGTTTGTTTTGCAAACAGCAAAGCAAACCTAGAGGACAAACTTGCCTAGAATTCCACCTCACTAGTTCATTTCCTGAATCACAACTTTTAACTAATTAATCTCTCTTTCTCACCCTTTCAGGGTCCATACATAGAGGAAAAGGCATAGAGCTTTATAACCAAAAAATAAAAAAAAAAAAAAAGAAAAGAAAATGCAGAATATGAGAGAGATGAGGATCAATTCAGTGCATAGATACCAGACAGAGAATAACATGGCAAGTTGTGGGGAAAGGGGATGAGAAAATGATTGTTTCAAGATCATGTGGCATTATATGGTAGGCACATCTGCATTTTATATCTCCATGTAAATTGTTATTGCACTGACAAGAATAGAAAAAAAATAAAAATAAAAATAAAATTATATTTTGGTGAGCCATAATGGAATGTAATGTTATTAAAAGCATTTCTAGTGTAAACATTACACTAGAAATTCATTTGATTATATTACATTATATCTCATTCTATTACTGCTCACCAAATGGAACCTAAGGATATAAAAGATCCAAACAGATGGTAAGGGCTGCCTATAAGTTTTTCCGAAATAATTCAGAAAGGCATAAAATTATGTATTTGGTCAGAAAATATCGATTATGTCTCCTCCTCCCTTGTAAATAGAAGAGAATTCTAAGGAATTCATTTATTACAAAATGAATTCCATACGAAATGTTAGTCTCGTGTTACTGAAAGCGTCATTGGAGCTCAAATAATTTTCTAATGCGTGGATAAGCAAGTTCGTTCAAGCAAAACAGTAAATAAATTGGCTAATCAATGGTTACCAAGCATTTGCATTATTTGAAATACAATCTTCTTTTGAAGTTCCTCTCTGGATCACTTTTTCCTATGCTTTTCTTAAGTCACTGATGTGACTTTTTACCTTAGTAATTATATTGACTACATTCAAGGACCGCAGACTAAAAGCCAGCATAGGTGCAACAAGTTATTACCTCTGCAAGGACTTGTAGAGCACCACTGTCACATACTTTGCCAAAAACCGATGTGTTGAACCAAGTGCCACAACAGCAGGGCTGCCCTTCCCTTTTTGCATGTATAGATGATTGAGCACCACGTGTTGAGGTCTTGACAAAGGAGGTGGAATCTCCATGTATGATGATGGCATATTGAGCAGCGTCATCTGTAAGTGTGGAGGAACAAATGGCGGCTCCTTTGCATAATCATCATTCCCAAGTTGCAAATTGTTGTAGCTCGACTCTGGAGACTGAGGTGGTTCAAAACTGGATATACTCTCAAGGTCCTCTGGAACATAATCCTGCCAAAATATTAACAGAAATCGGTTGGCACTTAATGATGAAGTAGTAATCCTTACTTTCCAGCATGGTTTTAGTTTGGGAACTGTTAGTTCAGACCATGTGAACATACACAAACATCACTGTAAGCACGTAATTGTTCCTATGAATCTAGAAGAAACCTTTCAATAACTAGCTATGCATACAATAGAATCATGCTGATTTGCCCATTAGAGAACAAAGCTGCCCACTCCATCTGCAAAGAAGGTGGCAAAAATCACCATAGATTTTATTAGCGAGTCATGGATGGATAGCAGTAGCATCATGTTATATAGGAATATAGTGTGAATAAGAATTATCTTGCTAAATGACATTTTTGATTGTCTGAAGTAGCAAAGTGGCATTTTCTATAAAATTTTAGTTTATCTTGAGACAACACTTGCATGTTAGTTCAAAAGCAGTAAAGCATGGTTTTTTTTTTTTTTTTTTTTTTTTTTTCTATGCATGTTAAGAAAGGAAGCGAGTAAAGCATGGTTTTTATTTTTTTTTTTTTTTTTTTATTTTTTTTAATAAAAAAAAATAAAAAAAAACATATTTTTCAATAAAAAGCTGCAGAATATAATAAAAGCCTCCATCTTGAAGTAAAATTGAATATTCTTTAATTACACGTGTTTTTTTTTTTTTTTTTTTTTTTTTTTTAACATATTTTTCATAAAACTGCAGAATATAAATAAAAGCCCATCTTGAGAAATTGAATATTCTTAGATTACACTTGCCAAACAATGATTACATGGATATATCATGTACTCAAATTCAGTGGCACCAAAAACAGTTCCACATAAGTTAATGGAAAAGGAGAGAGCAAAGTTAAAATTTCAATGATGCTTTCAGATCTATCTTGGGAGTTTCAAAATACAATACCACCAACAGACTGCTTCTAATTCTTGACTTCGCATATGCTTAATCAAATTATTATATTAAATGGTAGAATAAAAGAAGTCTTCAGTTGCGCAGCAAAACTCTAACGGTTCCCTTTTAATTTTTGCAAATCACAGCATAGTTGTTCACATGTTCATCACAAAACAAGTTCTATGGTTCCTTTCAACTTTTGTTTTCTTCAATTTTAAGCTTGAATAAATGCACAAAATTGAGGAACCAATAGGATAAGCAGTGATAAACATTGTTTCATGCTAGAAGTCATAGAAATACCAGAATTTAAGATTCTAAATAGTAAATTGTAAGCTATAGAAACCCATATGCAAATGCCAGCAAAGCATATTTACACATGCATCTTCATCTATTCTCAATACAATAGTACAAACAAGGAAGCCCATGACAGAATCAAAAAGAAAAGGAAAAGTTATTACTCATGCATCAGATACCATTATCCTTATGAAACCTGTGGCAGCTTTTCAATTCCATGTAATTATTGGTAGGAAAGATTTAGATTCTCACTCCTATTGTGCACATGCATAATACCAAGACAAAAGTACTGATGAAAATCTTTACCTGCAAATCCAAAACATTGTAAGCATTGCCAGAATCATCTTGGGCCCAAGGCAGGTCAGGGATGTACTTCCACTGTCTATCAACAATGAACCTGTATTGATAAACTCCCGAAGGAAGTACTTTCATTATAGTGAAATCTTTACCAGATCTCTGCAAGGGAATTCTGAGCAACGAAGTGAGAGGATATATTAGATTCTTCAAATGCAGTTAATAGTGTCATTAAACAAAAAAGCCAAAAAAAGCTAAAAACCAATAAATTCCTACAACCTTGTTTTCCAGTTATCCCATGATCCCTCAACAGCCACATCCTTGCCACCATAGCTCCATGTAATCATTGTTGGAATCCCTTGTTCATCGCACATTTCTTCATAACCAACAGTAGTTTGCATCCATGAATTGCTTGGACTTTGGATCTCATCAGGTCTTTGCAGTGGAACCACTGGAACCTAGAAAAGAAAAGCAATGAAGTAAGAATAAAAAATAATAACTTTTATAGATTTATTCACAACATAAGATTAATACATCAGCTAGCTTAATAAAAATATATTTGACCATGAGATGATGATTACCCTGTTAATCGAAGTAACAAAATCAAAGAAATGATCCTCAAGCAGTGAACTCCATATAACAGAATGTAATTTGCTGATAAATTCGGTATTTTCACTATACCACTGACAGTTTTTGTGTATTACAGCAAAATGAAATTTCAGCACTTCACGATACACTAATGGTAAGGGCCGTTAAATGCTTTGGAAAAAATAACCAGAAATCAAATATCCACCCAACAATGCAATATCACATAACACTTATAGAAGCTCATCATAAACTATATCATAAAGCCAATGCAATTCACAGCAAATAACCAACATTCATTTTCCTATGTTTTTTCTAAAAATTAATTTTCCCATGTTTTCTCTAAAAAAAGAAACCAATGACAAGAAGGATTTTATAACAATGAAAAATTAGGTTTTCCAGCAAATGATATGCAACTAGTTGAGCATAAAAGGTAAGTCCATGACAGTAAAAAATATTTAAGGCTAGCATAATATCACCTAAAAAAAAAATCCTCTACACTAAATAATTGAATCGGATTCTTCGAAACAATTCATAAATCTTATGGAGAGACAACAATGTAAACATAGACACCCACATGCATACTAAAATTAGAGCAAACCCACATTAGAAACATCGTAATAGGAAACTTTGAAAAATTAAAAAAAGAAAAGAAAAGATAACTGACCTGAGGAGTGAACATGAGAGGAGAGTGAGTGGCTCTCGGGCTATGAGGAGGGGACTGACCCATCAACTCAGGAGGAGGCGGAAGGTACCCAAGGTGGGTCTCATCTGATGAAACCATCCCTTCGCTGCCGTTATTGCCTCCTCTTCCTCCGCCACCTCCTCCTCCATCAATCCCACCACCACCTGATCCTGATGGGCTATTTAACCCTTCTTCTTCTCCTCTTCCATTCACATTTCCCATATTATAATTAATTATTATCTATCAACTCAACCACAATCTCCACTGATTTACACAATATCAAAAATATATATAATATATTATTATTATTGTTATTATTATTGCTAGGATTCTGATTATTTATTTATTTATGACTTTACCCAATACCCATTAACTATTACCCAAAGCCCATCAACTATAGATAAACGAAATCGCACTAAATTAATAACAACCCATCAAGCAATTGTCTGGAAAGATGCCAAATTTCAACAATTCTTGGTAAGAACAGAATTGGCAAATACACAGCAGAGTAAAAAAAGTAACATGAAGAAAGAAAGAGCACTAACAAAACAAAAAACAAAAAAAAAAAAAAAAATACACAGCAGATGTAACAAAGAACATGAAGAAAGAAAAGAGCACTACAAAACAAAAAACAAAAAAAAAAAAAAGAAAGGAAAAGTAAAAAGAATTTTCCCGACGAAGTTTGGAAAGATGGGATTGAGAATTGAAACGACAGGGTGTGGGATGTGGGCGTGGGTGCGGGTGCGGGCAGTGGTGGTGGTAAGCGGTGGGCCAATTAGAAAAGATGAATTTATCACAAATATCATGTTTTTTCTTTTTTTTTTTTTTGTTTGGTATTATTTACATTTTTTTTGTAAGCAAATGGTGAGAGGGAGGAAGGGATGTGGTCACGTCCATTTTTTTTTTTTTTTTTTTTTGTTGTATTATTTACATTTTTTTTTTAAGCAAATGTGAGAGGGAGGAGGGATGGTGGTCACGTCATCATTTGACAAAGTCTTCTCCTATGATAATTTTTTTTGGCCTAATGCATCATGATACTCGGCACTTTACAGTTTATTTTCACTTTATTTGGATTTTTAATTAATTTTATTTTAATTTTAATCTTTTACAAGAATACCATCCTTAATTACAAATAAAAATATATTTTATTATTTTTTAAAAATTAATAATAAAAATAAAATTTTAAATATCCTTTGAATATTAAATTCAAATCTAATCGGTGACAAATTTATATAGATTTAGAGATATAATATTTGAGACATTTGCAATTAAAATAATTAAAAAATCATTTGTATATTTATTATTAATTGAATAATAATTGGACTATATTATCAATCAAAAAATATTTAAAATTTTTCATCCTCAAAATATAGATAATATAAAATTAATATCTCATTAAAAAATTATATTTTATTAATTTGATTTTTATGCCACATAAGAGGATTTTTTTGGTAAGTAACAAAAATTTATGTTAGTATTAAATTATTAATTAATACATTTATTTCAAAAATTAAAATTTAATACATATGACATTATTTGTTTATGTTAATGGATTTTTTTATTGGAATTACATAACGATTTAAAAATGATTTAAACACTTTTTTAATTTCCAATCCCATCTTTAATAGCACTTAAGGTACTATTGCTATAAAAGTTTATGGTAAAATTGACAAAAAATATCCAAATAAGATGGAATTATAAAGAACTATAAAGTTTGGGGTATTCTAATATATTAAGGTTGTGTTTGGCAATAGTTTTTAAGTAATTTTTACTATTTTGACCAGTCAAAATGCTAAAAAACTATTTTTTATAGTGTTCAGTAATATAGCATTTGGTTTTTAATGGTTAAGGTAGCGTTTTATAAAAAGTTAACCCATATAACATTTAGCTTTTAGCATTTTATGAAAAATTACTCAAACAGCTAACAACTAAACACTACTATAACAGTTTTTTTTTTTCTTTTTTTCTTTTTGAAGGCAAACAAAGAAGATTGCATTAAGACTGATAAAAAGGTAATAAACATTGTAGAACCGATGTCCACTCTTGGAGACAAGCATGCCTATAGGAAGCTTGAGCCATAGAATGAGCGCCTATGTTAGCTTATTTCCAAATCCATCTAATAGCCACATTTGGCATAGAAGCTAATAAGACTTTACAGTCTTGTAAAACCATACCAAATTAAGACATATGTAAATTATTGTTATTCAAAGCAAAAAGCATTTATTGACAATCTAAACAAAGGCATCCTGGAGAGGGAAGGTTAGATTGTGACCATGATAAACAAGATCGAAGAGCCAACACCTCCACCAATTGTGGATCTGTGTAAGAGTCAAAGAAGTGAGAGAGTGCTCTAAGGAATGAACCATTTGGCAATTCAAATACAAACCCAAATCCAGCCATGCGCAGGTCCGAAAATATGGCGCCATCAACAAATCCTTGCCATCCTGAACTGTCAAGACGTCCCCAGCTTGGTACCATACAAGTCCAATTAATGGCATGCGCTGAGCTGCTGTGGCCAACATAGTTGCCTTCCATTCCTGAAGCAGCTTATACGAGGCAAGCAGAATACCAATAGCATCACAATTAACATTATTCCATAGCCCGTTGTTATGTGCATGCCAAAGGGACCATGCAATAAAAATAACCGATTGTAGAGTGTCCTCCATGTTAGAAGCAATGACCTACAATAAGAAACCTTGAAAAGAAACGTTAGTTAGAATTCCAATCCCACTCTTGGTACATACCTCAATAGCCTTATTGCTCCTTAGAAGCACATGGTCCATATCTTCCGTTATATTACACTACTACACCAATCCTCCTCTACTATTCCCTTTGCTCGAAGTCTTGCTCTCGTAGGCACAGTTCCTCGACAAACTCTCCAAATAAACTCCCTTATTTTTGTGGGATATTTAATCGCCAAATTCTCCTCCATAGATCTCCTACCATACATGTGACCTCCTACCGAGTCGAGTCGAGTCGAGTCGAGTTGAACCAAACCCGGTTGGGGTAGAATGGGTTTATAAGTGGACTTACTTGATTGAGAGAAATGGGTAGAATGGGTTTAATAAGCTGGACTTACCTGATTGAGAGAAAAAAGATAACAAAGTATAAAGGTTTAGGATTTATTTGCATTAAAAGATAAAGGCTTGGGTATTAAGTTATAGCCTTTTCCACTTTGAAGGTACCATTTAGTAAGTTTCACATCATTTTTCCATTGATATTTGATGGCCTACGCCCGTGGGATAACAATTTTACTTTCACCAATTTTCATCTTTAATTCTCATCCTTCTTCCATCTCCTTCCCTTTCTCTTTCTCCATCCATTTTCATGGTAGTTTAAGGCAACCTCAATTTTCTCCAAGTAAGTAGAATTTCTTGAAGCTTTATATTATTCAACCTCTAATTAAGCTATATTGTAGATAAGTTATAAGAATTCTGATGTGTATAGGAGAAGGGAGTTCAAAGGTAGTAGAAAAAAGAAGTCAAAGAGGAGCTCAAGCTTTTTGGAGTAAAGGTTTGATATCTCTTTTCATTTACCATTTTCTTTGCATGAGAAATTATGTGGTGTGTTGCTAATGAGACAATATTGCTTCATGTTGAGTGTGGGAGGACTGGAAATGGTGAGAAAACAGGGGAGGAATTGAATATATGAAGGCAATATTGAGTTTATGCTGAAACAGGTTTTGCTAGAAAGGAACCAGTGACTTCACTTTGATTTTGACCTTATTTAATGATGGAATTAGGAAGTGTTATAGAAGAGTTATTTGTTCCTCTATGTGTTAGCGTTACATGGGTTTTTGATAAGAAAGAAATGCTTGAATTATATTTTCCATTGCGCTAGAAAATCATGGACCAAAAGAGTACAGACTGCGCAGGCTGGAAAACGCGACGCGCGCGCGCGAATTGCATGACGAGCTCGCGAATTTCACCTGAAACACACTGACTCTCAGTTTGCACTTTTCGCGCTCGCGACTTTGCACTGCGCGCTCGCGACTTGTGCCCGAAAACACACTGATTCTCATTTTGCACTTCTCGCGCTCGTGACTTTCACCTGGAAACTCACTAACCTTTAGGTGTGCTTTGCGCGCTCGTGACTTGTGTTTTCATGCACTTTTGGACTTCATTTTCTATGCAATTGGATTCCTTTGCTCAATTTGTATGCCTCCAATCATTTTAAAACAAATACCCTAAAAAAAAAAAAAAAAAAAAACTACATCAGAAACATGTATCAAAACAACATGCAAGCATGCAAATGATGTGAAATCAAATAAACATTATGATTTATGAAAGTTATGAACTATTAATGTGATTTTAGATTTATACTACCTTGACATATCAACCTTTATGCTCCATTGAGGTTAGGTAGAAACCAAATGTAGATAAGGCTATGTCGCAACATAGGATTGTCGTGACATAGGATAGCAGATCTGCACCCCATACAGTTCGATACTCCGGCTACAAGCCGTTGAGTGGATATGATTATATATGGGCCATAGCAGCCAATCATACAGTATTCATCCAGTTTCATATAGTTTTTCCTTATCACTTCGGTTTCACTATAACCTTATGGAGCCATACTAATATCTTGACATAACATGGCATGAATCCTACAGTATTATAAAGATCATCAAGGTATAATGAAGGTATCATGACATGTGTGCTTATATGTGCCATATGTGTTTACATGGTTCTTTCTACACATGTATGTGCTAAATTGTTTCTTTTATGTTGATATATTCCACTGAGCTTTATTTGCTCAGCGAGTTACCTGTTAACTCTGCAGGGTTTGAGACTTGGGGACCGTAGAGAGTCAGTTTTAACCAACTGCCTTCAGTTCATCTGTAGAAGACTCAGTCTTCAGGGTAGCTACTCATTGGATGTGCTATCTGTTTGTCTATCCTTTTCGATGGCATGTACAGGGCACACAGTTGGGGCCCATTCCATTTTGAAACTAGTAAGGGCAGTCTTGTAAATATTAAAGTACATATTAATATAAAACAACATCAGCATGATATTATATTCAAATACATTATGAGTTCAGCATGACAGGATATAAGTGAACCAGTGTAGCGTCTCGACTCGGTTTATTGGGTTTACGGTGGACCGGGAAGGGATGTTACAATAACACTCACCCCCCTTTTACCCAAAAGCTAAAAGGCTAGATAAGAACCAGCATGTTTACAAACCTATAAAACCCTTTTTGTCCCATAATGCCAAATGATTGAGTTCAGCATGACAGGATATAAGTGAACCAGTTTGTAGCGTCTCGACTCGGTTTATTTGGGTTTACGGGTGGACCGGGAAGGGATGTTACAATACACTCACCCCCTTTACCCAAAAGCTTAAAGGCTAGATAAGAACCAGATTTTACACTATAAATCCCTTTTTTCCCATAATGCCAAATGATCTCATCCATCCTATGTACCATACTCAAAGGAATATTTAGAATGGCCTAAATATCCTTAGCACTAAAAAGCTCTACAATCTTCTCAAAATCCCACCTATGTTTATCCTCACTCAAAATATCTCAAATTCTTGGATTAGGATCTATAAAATGTAGCCCTTCCTCCACAAGA